TCGCGCATCCTCCTCGCCTCCAGTGCAACAGCAGCAAGGCAGCAGCACGTGACCGTTCCGTTTTCGTGAGTGTTGGCTTGTCTTCTTCAGCGCCAAACTGAAGGCTCTGCGCGACTGTTTAATATTTTAAAAGTTAGCCAGGTGAAAAGCAAGTGTTTTTTTTCTGTTCCTGAGCGTTTTGTAGCAGTGAAGTACTCAGAGGAAAAGGTTGTAGATTATTACATTCAAAGTACTTACGTTATTTTAAATTGTTAGCGACTGTTTAATGTTCCGAGGGAGCTCACACGGCAAGAGACCGAAACAGAAAATGGCTCAATAAGAATACAGGTTTGGTTGAAAGGCTGAAAAAATACTTTATTGTGCTTTACCATCAAAATGTATAAGGGGGTGTGTTGTTGTGAATTCAGGATAAAAACTAGGGATGACAATATCCACGGCTCACGATTTACAACTTTATCTGCTGATAATGTAATTTCTGTGAAATGTTTGACAGCGGGGCACTTGCTGTTATTTGCTTAAGCACATTCAACGTGGCACTGATGTGCACGTTTCCTGGTTGCAGTGCTGCCGCTTTGTAATGGAAGCGCGGCGCTCCAGTGGAATGCACAGCTCTCAATGGTACGAGCTCGGACAATATGCAGAAGAACCATGTTGTGCAAGGTTGGGGTCTCCTCGTATCTCCCCCGTTTATCCCTGTGTCTTGAATGTTCTCCTGATTTCCCAAAGCGCAACAGAGGCTCGAAATTAAAGCTCGGATACTAAATTTTCCATTGGTTAACGTGCATGTGGTTGTGCGCAAAAACAACCACAACAGGTCATTTACGTTTTTATCTTTGATACCTTGAGAGACCTGTGAGTCATTATTGCTTTTTGGGTTGAGAGTGGAAATAAAAAAATTGAAAATATAGAAAATCACATGTTATTATTGCCAAATTTGTTTACTCATAGTATAGAGAATACTATTGTAACTTTTTGACATTGGCAAGTTATATAAATGATTCTGCAATTCATGTAATATGAATGTTCTGTTTTTTTGATTGTTATACTTCTTATATACTTAGAAAATGCCACGCCTCAAAAAAAGATAAAGATATCTGGAGCAGTTAACAGTTGGAAAGGAAAGTAGAGAAGCCCAAGTAATAGCAAATTATGAATTGTGATGATTAATTTATGTTAACATACCTAGGAAATACAAACAAGAGAGAAAATATAGGGAAAGTTGAGGTAGAAGGGCAACAGCCTCAGTGCATAGGGTGGAGGTTGGAAATTGTGTAGGTATGATGGGATATGTAACTTGTTTTAGAGATTGATCGTATATGTAATCAATGTATTGAGTATCACAGTAGGGATTTTAAAAATTCAATATTTTTTCTTGTTTTTCTTTTTTATAGGAAATGGAAAGCTCAGAGCATGATTTATTTCAAAGTATCGAGAGCAGTTCCTGAAACTGTAGTCTAGGTGAGGGCGTATTATGTAGATTTGGATTAGGTTTAAGTCAGGTATAGAATGAACGCAACACAAAATAGAAGCTGATCCAATTGATTTGTTTTAAACTATTTAGAAAAATCCTTAACTGATCTCATTCAGTTAAGCTGAGTTTAGTATAGAAGGCAATCACACTATTGCACAATATTAGTGTGTGATTACACAACAAATTCTGGGGGAGAAACTCTGGACCGTGTGCTCTATGGGAGTAGACTAGGTCGTAGTGCACTGTCCCACCAAGATTGGAACAAACCTACACCATTGCGCTCAGGTATAAGACTGCGTTTGCAACTGTTTGCCTAGGACGCACACATTGTGGCGCAGAACTTCTAAAAAATGGTTAGGTTATTGACTCTCACATCATTAATGAAAACAAAGATACGAGGATTTATATCGGGTTGTCCTATTGAACAATTGAGACAGTGATAAAAGTTCCGTGTGATGCAGAATTTTCTATTTGAATCCGTTTCTTCCCAGTGTCTCATTCGTTGTGATCGGTGCCTAGTGGTTATAACCAGGGGGTGCTCACTTTTTAGTATGCGAGCTACTTATAAAAAGGATAAGTCAAAATGATCTACCTATACAAAATGCAAAATCATATATTTATTTCAATAAATATTCTTTCATACTACAATATATGTGTTATGTACATGCAAAAAGCATGATACCAATATCAAATATAGCACAACACAACACAATTATTATGTACATTTTTTGTATTACCGAGTTTACTCTTATGATTGCACGAATGAATCGGCCTAGGGATGCATAGTCCGGACAATTCGTGGTAACTCGCTGGCAAGTTTGTCGTGGTTTAGCTTACCTGCCAATGAGCGCGGTTGTTTGAGCATGTGCAGTCACTAAGTGTCAGTAAAACATTACCTGAGTTAAAACACAGAATGTCATTTTGACTGTTAGGGGTGCCATGTCGATGTGCCATGCCGGTTTATTTAATCCAAATCTTTCCCTCCTCCGTTTATAAATAATTTGCATCCACACATCTTCGTTTCAATCTCATTCCAAAATGTGGGTGTCTTACGTCCTGTCCTGCGTTGGGGGGAAAAACACAGACGTGGGCGGAGTTTGATTGAGCGCGGTAAACGGCAACTTTTACAGACTAGAGAACTCAGCGTTCAAGACGATGTTTACAAGAACTGACCCGTCCTCAGTGGTTTAGTCTGTTTAGTCTGGTTTAGTTGGTTTAGTCTGGTTTTGTCCTGGGTTTAGTTGTTTTCAAGGTGAGTACGCGTATCATTATGCTGTCTTGATTGTGGAGGAATGTTCGCTGCTCAGAGATGCTCACAGTGAAACAGTTTTTAAGGCTAGTATGTTCCATGCTTCAGTGATCAGAGGAATTTAGGGGGGTTATGTGGCGTGCGAGAACGCAAAAACTCCGATGAAAAAAATCTCTGTCTAAACAAAGCATTAACGGAGTTTTCAAAAATTTCGAAGTGTATTTTTTATTTATTTAATGCGATCTACCAATACTACCTTTGCGATCGATGGTTAGACGCGAACGACTTATTGCGCACCCCTGGTTAAACTGCGTTTGTGCTACAAAGTAGGAAACCGGGCGTTCGATCCGGGTTTGTCTTTTTGTATTTCTTGATCATGTATATCACTTTATGACAGATTGCTCTAAAAAACGGTAGGTTTATAAGATAGGGTCAAGACGTTTTTTGCAGATATAGCTTGAATTGATAAAACTAATTATTTAAGACCACTGTACCCAATTAAAATAATGTTAGTCTCTTTTTGATGTGGGAATTGTTACATGTTGTTAAAAAAATCGGCATAAATAAAAATTGAAAAGGTGATATCATCTTGAGCAAACCCTGATGTGATACGCTGAAGAAAAGGGGAAATACGTTCCAACATCATTCTTCCACCTCCTCTTGTTGGACATCGATTTCTTTTATTTTGCATTCTTAACTATGTATATATTACATTGCTTGTTATTTGTTTTAGCGTCCGCCAAAGCTATTTCTACGGACATCTCTGATGTTCATATATTACAGATTTTCCCGCTGCATAAACAAAATCATTATAGATAGCAGAGGAGTGGCTTGTAACGACACAACACGAGGTACGCGCACAACACACGCACACACATGCGGCGTACTGGGGAAGCAAAGCAAGGATGTTTTCAGATGCTACACTGGTCACTCTCTGGTCTCTCTGGTCTCTCTCTGGTCCTCAGACTCTGGTCTCTCTCTGGTCTTTCTGGGCGCTCTCTTCTCTGGTTCTTATCTGGTCTCTCTATGCTCTCGCTTCTGAATATTTGCTCTCCGTGGTCTTCTCTCTCTCCTGGTCTCTCGTGGCTCTCTCGTGGTCTCTCCTGGTCTCTCTCTATCTTTCTGGTCCTCATCACTGGTCACTCTTTGATCTCCCCCCCGACCTCTCTTTGGACATTGTCTCTGGAACCTGGTCTCTCTCTCTCTCTGTCTCTCTCTCCGTCTGTCTTCTCTATCTCTCATCTCTGAACTTCTTTGCTCTCCATGGTCTTTCTCTCGTCTGTCTCTCCCTCTAGTCCCTCACTGGTCCCCACCTGAGTCTCACCTACCAACCATTTAAGCCTGGCCTTAATGAGTCATGTAGAGTGTGGAGTGTGGAAAGTGTAGATGTGGAGTGAGGAATGTGGTTTGTGTGGTTGTGTTGCAGAGTACCTGCCGCAGCATCTCTCTGCCGGTGCCGGTGGTGGTGGAGGGACACCAGCAGCAGCAGCGAGTAAGGCTCTGTCTCCCCTGACACACGACCTCCAGACACCACCCCGTCAACTTCAAATCCAGCGGCAAAAGTCTGAGGCGAAAGAAGTGAAGGGCCACGCTCGCTCTTCCTGAGGTCTCCTCCTCTCTTTTAACTGTTTATTGTTGTTTGTTGTTTTGGAGGATAAGGGCTCAAGATGACAAATGCAGTAAACATTAATTATAATATCATTCACTAGCAGAGGGCTCCGTTGGTAAAATTGATAGTGTTATAGAGCCTGAATGCGGAAGAGGCCGATTGAAAGACCTTAGCAAGCTGGTATCCATTTCCTTAATGGTCATTTTGTATCGTTGCGGTTAGCTTTGTACGTAACCGGGGAAAGTTAGATATATTGAGAATTGAATGTAACCAGCATGTGGCGCAGATGGTTTAGGCACTTGTGGTTCTCCCGTTGACTGTTCTGGTGTCCCTCCGGGTGCTCCGGTATCCCCAAACGGCCTATTAGGGGCCCCATCAAATTGAACATGCCAGATCCATGATACAATAGGACTGGCATGTACCTCCTGAAGACAACCTCGGTCCCCTCTCTGTGTGGAGTTCAAGACAAATGCCCACACCATTTGCAAAGTGCTTTTTGACTCTGGTCTGTGAAAGGGCTCTTAAAATAAATATTACTTTACTTACTTTTTTTTTTGTCCAATATTGTTCTTGACAGCCAGCACACCAAAACATATTTTTGACAATATTGGGGGCCTTTCTTCGTGGGAAATTTTGTCAGCATTCCAGTGGAGGAACTTTGAGGTACCATCATGCCCCCCACCGCTCCCCAGACAGAAAGACTCCGGCTTCTTTCTTCTGCTTCGGAAAGACCACGAGAGGGTCGAGCCACTGCTGCAACTTACCGCATTCACACCGAGGACCAGGACAAAGTGGTGGCTAACCTCATGGACGCGCTGGACACAAGGGTGAGACACAGACAGATGGAGAGGCGTTTATATCCAACCCATTACAGCGCTTGAGAGTGGTCTTTAATGGTCCTGGTGCAGGTCTGAGGAAAACCAAGCTGAAGCCACAGAACATTTCCAACGCTCTTCTCCAGTATTGCAGACTTTCGTGCGGCGTGGCGGATCGGAAAATCATTGCAAACATTTTTGTCAGCAGCTCAAACCTGGAGCGTGGACTTTGCAGCACTTGCCATCAGCCACTTGCATGTGGTTGCTGTTCGGCATCAGGAAAAAAAAAAAAATGGGGGGGGCGGTGAGTTCATATTCTCTTTTTGTGCCTCTTCCTCACCATTAATACAACCCAGGATACAATCATTAACACCAGCGGTCTCTGCTCTGGGTCCTGTGGCTCAGAGAAGAGACGTTAAAGACTTTAAAGGTCCCTATATCACCGCGCTTTTCTTCATGTTTCCCACACTCAGATCCTAGACACATTTGTGATATTAATGTGTATGATACCCCACGACAAAAATCAAAGCATGTGAGATTAGAGCCATCTCTTGTATAGTGGTGACGTCACCTCGACTCAACGAGGCTGATCCCGAGTCTGCTCCTCTCTCTGTAGCCTACCCCCGCCTTTCCCCCCGCCCTCACCCGCATCCCCCCCGCCCTCACCCCCCTCCCCCCGCCCTCCACGGCCGCCTCCCCCCGCCCTCGACCACCCACCCGCCTCCCCCCACCCTCACACCCACCCCTGCCGCCTCCCCCCGCGCCCCGACCCGCCTCCCCACGCTCACCCGCCTCCCCACCCTCACCCGCCTCCCCCCGCCCTCAACACGCCTCCACCCCCCCCCCAGCCCGCGAAACGCTGACGTAGCCCTCACGCTTTGTCGTTTATCACCTGTCCTATCATTTCCCATACATAAGAAAAAACTTTATTCAACAATGACAATCCGTCACATGGAGCCCTATGTCCTCGATCCACAATCAGACCCTAGTTATTTAGTTTACAGAAGTAGACAGCATTTAGCGTCACTACTTACAGATCGAGGGGGTCCGAATTTACGTATTTTACCGTGGAATAACGTGTTTCCAGATCAGCCTTTGGTAAGTTCCAGTTCCATGGGCCCGCTAGTTTGTTTGTTAGTCTGGAACAGGTCCTCAGTTGCAGTGTCCGCAGATTAAATATATTGAAACCGGTTTTATTTTATAATAGATCCATGGATGAACAGATGAAAAAAAGTCTAGTCGGAGAAGCCGCTTTCTCTCCTTAGGGCCCAAATCAGTTTGTTGTCACCTATTTACATCAACCCATAAACACACTTCATTCAAGGGGTGAGCGTGATTTCCTCAAAGGCGGGCGTTCAGACGCAAGCAAGCTTCCAAAAATGCTTCCTTTTGACGCGCTTTTTCAAACTGACGCGGGGGATGACGCCACGTTGGATGATTAGTTTTGTCCATTTTGGTGCTGTAATGCTTTTTGACGGCGAGTGAACGCGCTTTCCTTGACCGGGGGTTTGGGAGGGTTGGGTGGGGGGGTGGGGAAGGAGCTTCTCTGTTGTCTGTGGGAGGAAAAAAAGCTGTGGGAGAGCTCTCTCTGGTTGTCTGTGGGAGGAGCTTCTCTGTTGCTCTGTAGTCAGGACAGCGTTTGTGGATTTTTCAATGAGCAGCGAGCCTTTATTAGTTATATAAATACAAAATACGTTGTTGTAGGGCTTCAACAAAACATGTTCTGGGTTCACCACAGACTTGAGAGGCTGCAGTGTTTGCAGAGATTCCGTCATTCTTCCTCAGGAGCTGTGTACGGAGGAGTCTCGCTTTCAGCGGATACTTCCGCATGTCACTCTGCCCAGTCTGAGTTCTCAAACCCCGGAGCTCCCCTCTCCCCGCCTCGCTCATCGCCTCTCCTGCCCTCCCGGCATCGTCCCCATACTCACTGCCTCCTCCCCGCCCTCTCCCTGCCTTCGCTCGCCTCTCCCTCGCCTCTCCCCGCTCTCGCACGCCTCTCCCCGGCTCTCGCTCGCCCGGGAGAGCTTGCCTTGCTCTGGAGCCAGACTCATCGTCTGCCTGGTCTTATTTTAAAATAAACTACGTTTACTACACAGCACGTGTAGCAATGATTTTTGTTACTCAGAACGTTACTACTCATACAAAATAATATTACTAATAACAATAATGACAATAAAACAGCAGCACAGATACATGACTTCTCTTCATGACAGAGACAGACCCTCTGCTGCTGCTGCTCCTCGTCTCCTGATTGGTTGAAGCCCGCGTCAAAGCTTCAAAAGCTCAGCTTTGCTCAGCTCGGCGTCAAAGCGATTGTTTTGATACCGAGCGTTTTTTTCGCGCGTCAAAAGCTTTATGTGAGCGCGCCTATTACGCGCGACTCTTGAAGCTCTTGACGACTTCTGTGCCTGTAATACAAACCTGGAAAAAAATGTATGGAATTAATCAACTGAGTCCCGACAATCCGCAAGTTGTATACTATTTTTTCATCACGTAAAGGCGGTTCTGGAGATGCCCGTTTGCCCGGATGGTTCGGCGGCTGCTGGGTACGTTTTTGTGACAACCTGGCAAAAGTGGACACCTCCCGTTTGTCTGTCCGGGACTGTCCATCGAAGGACATTGAGGATATATACATTTTTGGATTTATGGTTAGCAGGGTTCCGCCTGATCTGGATTATGGAGTTGGCTTGATTCTAACCGCAAAGTTGGACGGGCTGTCCACATCAGAAGATTTTCGAGCGGCTGTCCCGCGGAAAAACAAGGAGAGTTTCCGCGAGTTGGTCAGAGTCGTGGGTCGAGGGCCACTGTGGGGACACCAACAGGGTGTGAGTCGGATCGAACATTCCCTTAAACGATCCTGGGAGTGAAAAGAATCTTTGGATGGACCTTAAACAACCGCGTGGAAGGATTGATTGAAGGACTTGGGCCTCACGGTGCGAAACCTCGTACTGGACGTGGTCATACTCGGGATAACGGTGAAACGGTGGGTCCCGTTCCCAGTATAATTTGGGACATATTGGCTTTAGTTTAACACTGCCTTTGATCAGTCTAAAAAGTGCTTACTCAAATTTTCCCACTAGGGCATGTGGTTGTTTTGTCTCCATTGTTTTGCTGGCACCTGCGCTATCCTTTGGCCTTCACATTCCACCACCACTCAACGGCCGACTTCAAGGCTGGACACTGGACTCTTATCTATCTCAGACTCCCAACTCAGAACACAACCTGTTACAGTCCCCCCCCCCCACCCCCCCTACATGTCATGGCCTCTCTCTCTCTTTTTCAGGCTATGGTGGTCCTTATTTTTATTAGTTGTTGAACAAATATACAGCATACTAATGGTGTTATTGTTTACCCCACCCGTTTTGACAAATGTATTTAACAACTATTTATAAATACAAAGCAAAACGGCGGGTTCAATGCAGCGTGTCCAGTCAGTTGGTGGTTTTCGTCACTGAAAGTGGAACCCGAGCGTGTGCTGTGCCTCACGCTGGGGAAGGAGACAGATTGTTCTCTTACAAAAGATTGACAGAATCAATGAATAAACTACTGTGGGCTTGTGTATGAGGCCAAATAGCATTGTAATCATGTTTAAAGCAGAGAAAAGTCAAAAAAAACCGTGATATTGGGCCCTGTTTTAAGTTAGCTCTGTTTGTTGCAAAACAAAAAAAAGTCTCTCCACCGGCCAAGTCGCGGAACCAAAGTACAATCTGTGACTTGTTAGGTTGCCTTATGAAACTCACCTCTGAGAAGCACAGGGACTGGGGCCTCCTGATTTGGCCTTAGACCCCGACAGAGACCTGATGATGCAGAAGGGAAAGAGATTATGAGATGACGGCCTAGACTGGGCGGCACGGTGGCTGAGTGGATAGCACTCTCGCCTCTCAGCAAGAAGGTCCTGGGTTCGAATCCCGGTCGGACCAGGGCCTTTCTGAGTGGAGTTTGCATGTTCTCCCCGTGTCTGCGTAGGTTTCCTCCGGGTACTCCGGTTTCCCCTACCACTAAAAATATGTCCAATAGGCATGTCCTGGCATGCGCCTCCTGTACTGGCCCCGCTCCCATCTCTGTGTGGAGTGAGAGATAAATGCCCATAAATTAACAATTATAAACCGCTTTGAGACTCAGATCTGCAGTGAAAAGGCGGTATATAAATAAAGATTACTTACTTACTTACTAGACTCTGGTTGAGAGCGAGGAGAAGGATGAAGGACGAGGCGGAGATGGGGGGAGGAGGAGGGTTGTTGCGCGATCGAAGCTTCTGCTTTGATGGAGCTTTGTCGTGATATGAAGCCGATTGCTGCCAGATGAGAGCAGTGTGGTGCTGCAGCTCAGTGTGATTGACAGATGCTGTTGCCGTTAGCGACAGTGGGAGGACTGTTAACGCTGTGAGCTTAGTTCTTCCTGTTTGAATATTCATTTTAGCTGCAAACGACTGGAGGATTATAACTTCACCATTTTTAACGTACCATGACTATTTATGATAACACAATAAACAATAAACCGCAGCACGACAAACTACAGGTTAATTAGATATTCACCTTGTTGTTCTGAATGTGAGTTCAGCTACTGCAAAGGCAAAGCACCTTTTCCCATGAGCACTTCCCTAATAGTCCGATGGTCCACACAGCGATATATCATACAGCTCACTACCCCGCAAGGCACAAAGCATTATGGGTAATGTGCACAGAAGGAGTACAAGTTCTGAAAACTGCAATAAGCTGAAAACCTTCTCCCATCACGCCACGTTATGCTGCACTTTTCTGAGGGATCGTTCTCTTTCCTTCAGGTGAAACAAAGTGCTGCGAAACCACAACATCAAGCCCCACTGGATGTTTGCTCTGGACAACATCATCCGAAAGGCCTGTGCAGACCGCCATCACCATCCTCGTGCCAGGTGAGCCCCCCCAGGCCCCGCACGCTGCTTGATATGAGTCTGTGGAGAGAAGGCCACAATATCCTCTGGTCCTGGAGCGACGGAGGAGGACGATACGACGGATGTGTTATTGAAGCTAATATTGTAGTAAGTGTACAGGGTCTGCAGGGTCTTAGAGAGAGACTTCAGAACTATCTGGACTATAGAGCACACCTGTAGGTAACCGCACCAGATAAGAGTTAAAAGAATGTATATTTTGTCCACATATAGGCCGCACACGAATATAAGCCACAGGTTTTCATGTTTTGAAGACACTTAGCACTTTACCAACAGGTGATGGAGCAAAACAAAGCAGATGGACGACTGTTTTTACCATAGACTGTAAATATTAACGGATGTAGTCACACCTATCCCGCCGTTGAAACTAATGTGCCATCACTTATGCCTTCTGTGGGCAAAAAGTGGTGGAAAATGTGAAAAAAACAATTGCGTTTTTTTGCAACGTGCATTACCTGCATCAGCCCCATTCATTTAATAAGTGCATTCAAAAGTCCACAGCGACTAAACTAGACTGGTTTCAAAATATATACTCCCCTCAACATTGGACAACATCAGGAACATAGCTTTGGACCAAGAGCCACTTTTGGACCATCGTGTAGAGCCGTTTTTTGAGAGATAAGAAGACACCATACAAAAGCGTTGGATAATTCTCTTTCCGGGTACACCCCCACCGCCGAGAAGTGAAATTGCAATTATGTCAGCGGTGCAGCGCACATGCTCATGAACGTTTTTGAGCCGGGACCTGCCCCCACATACTGTACTGTAAATTTGTATTCCACCTTATACCAGGAATTTGCACTTTCTAAATTTGTTGCTAAATGTTAATTTATGTTGTATTTTGTACGTTGTGACTTTAACTACGTTGGTAATTTGCACTTTTTTAACTGTATTTTAATATATACGCTGAAACGATTGTATTGATGATGCTAAATCTGTTGCAGCCATATTTTTCAAGTAACTGCTACAGATTTAGACATTGTCCTTAAAGAGCGACTAAACACCTGTGCCCAGCCTTACTCCGCCAACATGAAGATTTTGAAAATTTTCTCTAAAAAGGGCGTTGCCTGGAGAACCAAGGGACAAGAAGGGGGGCTTAGAGTTGGGCGTGGTCTGGGCTGTGATTGACAGCTCACTTGTCACAAAAAAAAAAAACAGACAGTTGTCATTGCTGCTTAAAGCAATTAACCTGGCAAGAGCCAGATTGATGATTGTGTAGAACTCTAACGCGTTCTCCGCTCGGATATCAATCTGGGATTTCTCACGGAGAATCCTTTCGGGGAAAGGAGGGATAAGCAGCAGAATACTTGAAGCTGATTGGGCGAAGTGACGCTGTGTGCCCGCCTACCAAGGTTTGACTTACGTAAGGTAAAAATGCACAAACATCTTTGCCGTCCAGAAATGCACAAAGCGCCTCTCGCTGTTCATCTTTCAAAAAAGAAATTGGAGATTCTGCTAAAACTGACTTGATAGCCTCAGCTACGCGTCCGTCCTCCTGCGTAGCCATGTTTGTTTTGCTTCGGCCCGGCACTTCTTGCTTTCGTCAAACCCGGATATCCCGCCCTAAACCCCCAGACTGGCGCGTGATTGGCTCGCACACCCAGTGGTTCGACTCGAAAAGTGTAAGCGGGAGCGGTACAAGATGTATTCTCGAGTGTTTGTGAACTCACAAATACCGCGAGAATTCAGCTTGCAGGCAAGGTTATAAAGCAATAGTTTACAGACCAGAAAGTCTCATTCCACCCTTGTTTACACACTAAGATAATTGTAAAGCCACACACCTGAACCTAATCACACTCAATAATCTCAGAATTACTCATGTAATTTAATTTTAATCCACTAGATGGCGCCAGAATACTCCAAACTGCACTTGGGGCGTGTGTGAGAGTTGAATGGGTTTATATCACTGGCTCTGACAGACTGACGTCACACAAAACAACTGATGTCATAGAGAACTTCAGAGTCAATGGAGAGGCCAGGACCAAATTCAAATGTAGTACCACCAAAAAGGTTGAGAGGGCGCCACACAGCATTATTTGGCTCAAAAGTGATATTTTATCTAATTTGAACTAAAAGGTCAAAAAAATGACCAGCATATGTAGACAGCACTACAATAAACATACTTATGCAGTTTATGAGTTTAAAAAAGTTGATTTGGTGTTTAGTCGCTCTTTAACAAACTTCAACTTTTTTTTCTGGATGCTCAAAGAGAGGTTTTACAAAAGCACAAAGGGTCTAGTGTGTAATGTGTTTATGTGTTCAGAGCTGAGGCCGCACTTCAGCCTGGCCTCAGAGAGCGACGACCCCCGCCGACCCGGACGACGTGGACGAGGACCCTGAAGGCGGCCTCTCGCAGCCTCACCACAGCCGCAGAGCTTCTGTGGCTCAGAACGAAGACTCCACGGCTCCAAACGAAGACACCGTGGTCACCTCCCGGGTCAGCACGCTCAGCTCCACCGTGTTGTCCTCACGAGGTCTCACGCCGCACAGAGGTCTGTGACGCTGCAGCTGGGACGGATGAAGCTGGAGACCAACAGGTGAAGCACATTCATCCACTGTCAGAGACCAACGACCTGTGGCTTTGGAACTGTGTTTAGTAAAGACACAACTATCAATCAATCTTTATCTGTAGCACTTATCCTACAACAGAGCAACAGAAAGTGGATCACGGCCCCTTTCACATCATCACATGAATCATAAACAATGAAAATCACATGGAACATTATAAACATGAACATTGAAATGGAAGGGATTAAAATAATAACAAACCAAAGTGCATTAAAACTAGATCCACAAATGTTATGTTATGAACTGTTCCTGTAACTCCTCAAAAAGTTGGTTTGAGCTGCGAGAAAGAGACCACTTGTTCCGTAGTTTGTATGGTTTTGATCATAGCCTGTGTAGATAAAATGATGCAGAAAAAATACATGTTCACTCTTGCCAAGTAGTAGTAGTAGTAAGTAAGTAAATGTTTATTTATATAGCGCATTTTTACAGACCAAGGTACAGACCCAAAGCACTTTACAAAGTTCAGAGTCAGATATTGTTCCAATCCTTCCACACACGGTGATGACAGAAGCGAGTCCAGAACACACTGGACCATCAAAGCCTCTGACCCAACACCATCCATTCACTCTCTCATCTACACTCAGACTTATTGTGCATGTTTTTAGTGGCAGGGGAAACCGGAAGCACCCGGAGGAAACCTACGCAGGCACGGGGAAGAGAACAATGCAAACTCCACTCAGAAAGGCCCTGTTCTGACCGGGATTCGAAACCCAGGAGGCAAGAGTAGTGCTATCCGCTCAGCCACCGTGCCGCCCATTAAAGTAGTTCCATGATACAGCCACGTTGTATAAGCTGATTAAAACTAAAACAGAACTTCATCATTGACTCCTCGCTCACTCCATCGGTCCGTTCATAAATGGACAATACTAACCCGCTAGCTCAAGGAACCCCAATCAGTAAGTGCTTGTAGTAAAGTGTTATGAGCTGAGTGGATAGGACTCTGAGAAAGAGGAGGTTCGAATCCCGGTCGGAACAGGGTCTTTCTGAGTGCAGTTTGCATGTTCTCCCCGTGTCTGCAATCATCGTAGACATATTTCACAGACTGGAGCGGCAGTATCCCAGTGTAGGATGCGGATTCACTGTCTCTGTCTGGACTCAGGGCCTTAGTTTCTCGTTTCCAGTGGTGTAGAAAACATAACACTTCTTGCGCAGGTTGTTGGAGCAGCTGTTGGAGAAGGAGCGAGAGTACCAGGCCATTCTTCAACAAGTGCTGGACGAGAGAGAGCAGGAGATCCGGCTCCTGAAGCTGAGATCGGAGCCCACAGGTGACTATCTGCACACACCAGCGAGAATTCAAAATATATCATTTATTTAAGCACGACTTCTTGATTTTTATTCTATTCTATACTTGTTTGCACCGAGAGCCATTTCCCATTTATGGAGATATTGAGAGAATTAATAGTATTTTGTGTGTGTTTATAATCATTGCTATTTTATAATGGTTGTATGGTTGTAAAACTAGCTGCTAACTAGCTAATACTGGTTCATTTACAGAGAGTTTTGGACTATCCCTATTCTAAATAAACTAACAACAAAAGCTTTCTCTTTCCCATACATCCTTTGACCTGCTCCGTTCCTCTTCAGAATGAATCACAGTCATTGCGACACATTTCTCTACAGTCGTTTTGCACTTTGCGGTTTCGATTGTACAACAGGAAGTGGTGTAGAAAGTAAAAGTGGTCTCTCTTTTGCAGACGTGGCCACATCCGCCCTGGGTCAGCCGGGACCGAGGAGCCTCACCACAGAGCGGCCTGAGGACTCGGAGCTGACCCGATGGCTGCGGCTCTACGGAGCGGACCAGAACTCTATCGACAAAGTGCGGAACGCTTTATTATTATTATTATTATTATTATTATTATTATTATTATTATTATTATTATTATGAGCTCAGACCAAAAGTATTCAACTGTTAGAACTCCCGGAGCCGTCGTTTTGTCTCCTCCGTGTCTCCTCTGTGTCTCCTCCGTGTCTCCTCCGTGTCTCCTCTGTGTCTCCTCTGTGTCTCCTCTGTGTCTCCTCCGTGTCTCTTCTGTGTCTCCTCCGTGTCTCCTCCGTGTCTCCTCCGTGTCTCCTCTGTGTCTCCTCCGTGTCTCCTCCGTGTCTCCTCCGTGTCTCCTCCGTGTCTCCTCTGTGTCTCCTCTGTGTCTCCTCCGTGTCTCCTCCGTGTCTCCTCCGTGTCTCCTCTGTGTCTCCTCCGTGTCTCCTCCGTGTCTCCTCCGTGTCTCCTCCGTGTCTCCTCTGTGTCTCCTCTGTGTCTCCTCCGTGTCTCCTCCGTGTCTCCTCCGTGTCTCCTCCGTGTCTTCTCCGTGTCTCCTCCGTGCCTCCTCTGTGCCTCCTCCGTGTCTCCTCCGTGTCTCCTCCGTGTCTCCTCCGTGTCTCCTCCGTGCCTCCTCTGTGCCTCCTCCGTGTCTCCTCCGTGTCTCCTCCGTGTCTCCTCCGTGTCTCCTCCGTGTCTCCTCCGTGTCTCCTCCGTGTCTCCTCCGTGTCTCCTCCGTGTCTCCTCCGTGTCTCTTCTGTGTCTCCTCCGTGTCTCCTCTGTGTCTCCTCTGTGTCTCCTCTGTGTCTTCTCTGTGTCTCCTCCGTGTCTCCTCTGTGTCTCTTCCGTGTCTCTTCCGTGTCTCCTCTGTGTCTCCTCTGTGTCTCCTCCGTATCTCTTCTGTGTCTCCTCCGTGTCTCCTCCGTGTCTCCTCCGTGTCTCCTCCGTGTCTCCTCCGTGTCTCTTCTGTGTCTCCTCCGTGTCTCCTCTGTGTCTCCTCTGTGTCTCCTCCGTGTCTCCACCGTGCCTCCTCCGTGTCTCCTCCGTGCTTCCTCCGTGTCTCCTCCGTGTCTCCTCCGTGCCTCCTCCGTGCCTCCTTCGTGTCTCCTCCGTGTCTCCTCCGTGTCTCCTCCGTGTCTCCTCTGTGTCTCCTCCGTGTCATGAACGTTTTTGAGCCGGGACCTGCCCCCACATACTGTACTGTAACTTTGTATTCCACCTTATACCAGGAATTTGCACTTTCTAAATTTGTTGCTAAATGTTAATTTATGTTGTATTTTGTACGTTGTGACTTTAACTACGTTGGTAATTTGCACTTTTTTAACTGTATTTTAATATATACGCTGAAACGATTGTATTGATGATGCTAAATCTGTTGCAGCCATATTTTTCAAGTAACTGCTACAGATTTAGACATTGTCCTTAAAGAGCGACTAAACACCTGTGCCCAGCCTTACTCCGCCAACATGAAGATTTGAAAATTTTCTCTAAAAAGGGCGTTGCCTGGAGAACCAAGGGACAAGAAGGGGGGCTTAGAGTTGGGCGTGGTCTGGGCTGTGATTGACAGCTCACTTGTCACAAAAAAAAAAACAGACAGTTGTCATTGCTGCTTAAAGCAATTAACCTGGCAAGAGCCAGATTGATGATTGTGTAGAACTCTAACGCGTTCTCCGCGATATCAATCTGGGATTTCTCACGGAGAATCCTTTCGGGGAAAGGAGGGATAAGCAGCAGAATACTTGAAGCTGATTGGGCGAAGTGACGCTGTGTGCCCGCCTACCAAGGTTTGACTTACGTAGGTAAAAATGCACAAACATCTTTGCCGTCCAGAAATGCACAAAGCGCCTCTCGCTGTTCATCTTTCAAAAAAGAAATTGGAGATTCTGCTAAAACTGACTTGATAGCCTCAGCTACGCGTCCGTCCTCCTGCGTAGCCATGTTTGTTTTGCTTCGGCCCGGCACTTCTTGCTTTCGTCAAACCCGGATATCCCGCCCTAAACCCCCAGACTGGCGCGTGATTGGCTCGCACCACCCAGTGGTTCGACTCGAAAAGTGTAAGCGGGAGCGGTACAAGATGTATTCTCGAGTGTTTGTGAACTCACAAATACCGCGAGAATTCAGCTTGCAGGCAAGGTTATAAAGCAATAGTTTACAGACCAGAAAGTCTCATTCCACCCTTGTTTACACACTAAGATAATTGTAAAGCCACACACCTGAACCTAATCACACTCAATAATCTCAGAATTACTCATGTAATTTAATTTTAATCCACTAGATGGCGCCAGAATACTCCAAACTGCACTTGGGGCGTGTGTGAGAGTTGAATGGGTTTATATCACTGGCTCTGACAGACTGACGTCACACAAAACAACTGATGTCATAGAGTCTCCTCCGTGTCTCCTCTGTGTCTCCTCCGTGTCTCCTCCGTGCCTCCTCTGTGCCTCCTCCGTGTCTCCTCCGTGTCTCCTCCGTGCTTCCTCCGTGCCTCCCTCCGTGTCTCCACCGTGTCTCCTCCGTGTCTCCTCCGTGTCTCCTCCGTGTCTCCTCCGTGCCTCCTCTGTGCCTCCTCCGTGTCTCCTCCGTGTCTCCTCCGTGTCTCCTCCGTGTGTCCTCCGTGTCTCCTCCGTGTGTCCTCTGTGTCTCCTCCGTGTCTCCTTCTTGTCTCCTCCGTGTCTCCTCCGTGCCTCCTCCGTGTCTCCTCCGTGTCTCCTCCGTGTCTCCTCCGTGTCTCCTCCGTGTCTCCTCTGTGTCTCCTCTGTGTCTCCTCCGTGTCTCCTCCGTGTCTCCTCCGTGTCTCCTCCGTGTCTCCTCCGTGTCTCCTCCGTGTCTCCTCCGTGTCTCCTCCGTGCCTCCTCCGTGTCTCCTCTGTGTCTCCTCCGTGTCTACTCCGTGTCTCCTCTGTGTCTCCTCTGTGTCTCCTCCGTGTTTCCTCCGTGCCTCCTCCGTGTCTCCTCTGTGTCTTCTCCGTGTCTCCTCCGTGCCTCCTCCGTGTCTCCTCCGTGTCTCCTCTGTGCCTCCTCCGTGTCTCCTCCGTGTCTCCTCTGTGTCTCCTCCGTGTTTCCTCCGTGCCTCCTCCGTGTCTCCTCTGTGTCTCCTCTGTGTCTCCTCCGTGTCTCCTCTGTGCCTCCTCCGTGTCTCCTCTGTGCCTCCTCCGTGTCTCCTCTGTGTCTCCTCCGTGTCTCCTCTGTGTCTCCTCTGTCTCTCCTCCGTGTTTCCTCCGTGCCTCCTCCGTGTCTCCTCTGTGTCTCCTCTGTGTCTCCTCCGTGTTTCCTCCGTGCCTCCTCCGTGCCTCCTCCGTGTCTCCTCTGTGTCTCCTCTGTGTCTCCTCCGTGCCTCCTCCGTGTCTCCTCCGTGCCTCCTCCGTGTCTCCTCCGTGCCTCCTCCGTGTCTCCTCCGTGCCTCCTCCGTGTCTCCTCTGTGTCTCCTCCGTGTCTCCTCCGTGTCTCCTCTTTGCCTCCTCCGTGTCTCCTCCGTGTCTCCTCCGTCAAATGGACTGCTGTGTGTGAAGTCCACAGTGACAGATGTGTGTCTGCTGCAGATGGTGAACGAGCAGTACACTCTGAAGGACATCCTGAACCATGTGACCAGAGACGACCTGAAGAGTCTGAGTCTGAGGTAAACGTGTTTCACAATATTACTGTGACTGAAGAAACTTTGATCAAATATATGCTGTAAATACAAAACTAAAGTCAGGTTATTGCGTGAGGTTGATTCATAAAGTGCACTTTACTCTATGTTCCACATCTTTAACAAACCCTAAATAATGAAGTCTGTAAAATGTCCACGTAGTTACATATTAACGTTATGTAAGATTGTAAACATTTGTGATGAAAAGGAGACCTCAGGTGGAACAGCTGCTAATGGGCTCTCAGTGAAATGAACAAAAGAAATGAAATGCTTCAGCCTCAGCTGTCTTCGACCAGAAAGAAACACTTCTCTGCATCTGGTATTAGAGTCTGCTGCTGGTCCTGCGGGACATAGTATCAAAACAAAACACTATTTTGGGTCAAAACACAATGTAATGTTATTGGCTTTTGTACCAAGTAAAATATAATAAATATAAATATAATAAAATATAATAGTGTTTTTTTAAGGATGCCTCACATTACAGAAAACAGAAAATATGTTACAATAATGACTAGGGCTTTCAAAACGATCGCGTTAACGCACGTTAATAAATGTTTTTCATTAATCACGTTAAAAATTAACGCATTTGACGCATGTACCCATCCATGCATCCCATAATCACACTCAGAATGCCGCGGACACATCTGAGTGTGAGATGGCGACAGAGCAGGTCAAGTGCGTGACTGAGGAGCCGCATCCTCCGCCGCGTTCTGACCCGGGGCAGCTGCGGCCGCTCTGGACACCTCCAGCAGCTGTTTTACAGAAATGGCATATTCTTCCAGAAATGCTATTAATTATGATTTATTTATTTATTAAGCTATAATTAACTCGATTAAAAATTGTGATCGATTGACAGCCCTAATAATGACTTTAATACTTTAATAATTTTGGAACACGTTGCTCCCAACACTGGATTTAAACACACTCTAGACTCTGCACGGTGCTTTTAAACCATTTCTACTCCTTGTTGTTTACTCCCTGCACACACACATCTGCACCACAACCAGTGATGGGAATAACGGCGTTACTAACGGCGTTACTTTTTTCAGTAACGAGTAATCTAACTAATTACTTTGACAGTAACTATAACGCCGTTATCATTTCCGACATCCCGTTACTGCGCGTTACTCAAGACGCACAATGAACGTGTTGTCATGAGAGAAGGATGAGAAAACCTCTCAGCAATTATTGGCTGATGTAAAACATATTTCCTTTACAATCTACATGTCTACAGTTGAGAGGATGGCTCATAAATTGTGTTTTTGAAACAAATATGGGTCTTAATCGCGCTCAACCACAGCTTGTATCACCGTGAGGTCAGCCACAGAGGAGCGCATGTGAGCGCAGAAGTCGGCTGCATACAATTCCATCG